GTTTTCGTCTCCAAACGTTCCGCAGCGCGTTTCGCTTGCTGCGATCTTATCTCCATTAGCTTCGCCTTGGCATCTTTGAAAGGAGCATCAGATCTTGATGCCATCAATTGCTGTAAACAAAAAACCACAAGGTTACATCATCTTTTTATTCTCAAACTCTGTGTTGCGAAAACAATTGAATAGTTAAGCTTACCTTGAGATGATCCATGGCAGCCAAATTGAAACCGATTGTATCTTTGAATTCCTGGTAACAGAGATTCAAAATATTACTTACTATTTTTCACCTAAAAACTGTTGTATATATTATCTATTGTCACACGGATAAATTTACCTTGACTTTTGTGTGAAGAATATCCCTAAGAATACTTAATACTGGTCGTGCAGCTGGCGTTGTTACCAACTGATTGTGATGTATCTGTAATAGAAACGTTGCAATCCTGCAAACTAGTTCTACCTGCGTGGATTTCACAACAACAGTTTTGAGAACCAACAAAAAGAGCTTGATGATTGAGATCAAGTGCGATTTAACTATATATATATATCGAAGCACTTCAGAGCTAATCTAAAAATGCATATACTGTTGATGTAAAAATAAGTACCTTCTCAGGAATCAAACTCCAGTTTTCCATGTACGAAAAAAGCTTTAACGCATCTGAGAACTGTAGAGGCTACACAAAACCAGAAAAGGAAAAAAGCAATTGATTAGCAAAAAACCTTGGATTGAAAGATTTAAGCTGCTGTATATATAGTTAGGTGTCAAACCAAGTAACTAACTTTCTCTAAACTTGTAAACCATAGAAAAGGACAGATTGGTTTGGAAGAAAAGGAACTAACCAGTAAGGCCTGCTCGAGATCATTTGTTCTCACTTTTGAGATGGCTCGGAGAACAAAATCAGACGGAGAGAGCCCGAGCATCACAGCATTTGGAAGTAAATTAGGAACATTTGCCTTTGTTTTCTCCTCCTGAAAATCATGAGGCAAGAACAAAATATACAAAAACAAGGTTAGAGCAGCCGATATTTATAATAATGTTGTAGGCAAAGGCGATCAGAGTCCACGCCTCCATCGAAGATGCACATACAAACTCACAAATCTCACCTCATATGCAGCAACACGGTTCTTTTCTTCTTCTGCTACCTCCAGAGCATCTATAATTGAATCAGTGTCTGATAGGGTTTCTGCTGTCTTCTTCCCAGCTAAAGCTGCAACACCTTCCTCTGGGATTTCCTCTTGGGGTCCATGCCTGTTCTCCACTGCGTTATCGATCTCAGACTCAAATAGTTCTTCTAACCTCTTCTCTTTTTCCTCCTGAGAATTTCCAGCAAAATTAAAGTTATGGACTCAAAGTCAACTAGAAATGACTCATCAGAATGCTATCATCTCTATGTAGTCCTGCTACCACATCACCACTTTATATAGTTTAGTTAAGAACTTGCTTGAAATTCACATTTGATTCCGTTATGCGTCTTTCATATTTTTTCTGATTCTGACTCTTCATGCAAAATTTACTAGACCAGCTTCAAGCAGCAAGGCATTACCTCGAGGAAGAAAGGTTCTTCAGTGCGATCCCAGCGTCGCATGGACCTGTCATGAGATCCTGTGACGAGGAAATCACCACGATTGCTGACAGCAAAGCACCAAATCTCTGCATGATGCCCACCAAGCGTTAACAGCAGCTCAAACTTGTCTGCATCCCAATACTTCACAAGTCGGTCTTTCCCAATGCTGAACAGGTAATGGGTATTGCGAACAAATTTCACACCCATAACACTATAAAACAGAGTCAACTGTCAGTACAAGAGCACAAATATGTAATAGTGCTCTATTTTATATCATGCACGTAAATGCCATTTTGTCTTCATATTTTTTAAGTCTAGCTTCGACATTGTAAAATGTCTAGGTGACAAAAAAAAATTTTTATACACTACTAGGCAGCATCAAATTCTTTTGAACACTACCAGATAAAATTCTCTAAAGTAGAAAGACCAAAATATATAATACAGAGTCTGGAAGTTTTGTGTCATTCAGGTCAAGTTTCTGGAAGTACCTGTCATCATGAGCAAAGATGGACTTGTGACAATCACCGAAATCCAAACCCCAAATTTTCAAATTTTTGTCCTGAGAACCAGTTACAATCAACTCTCCATCGGATGAAATGTCAATGCACATGACAGGCAACTTGTGGCCATATAAGGAGAGGTAGAATTTTAGGGAATCCATATAGAAAACCTGAAATATAAGAGGAAAGAAAGTTGATATTTCCCGACACAAGAAAAACGCTGCAAGAATGACGGGAGTCTGATCATAGCAACATTATTTTGATTACATGGTAAAGATTTAACACTCTGAAACTTAGAGAGTTTGAATATGCATACCTTCACCGTGGAATCTAGCAGTGCAACTGCAATATGTTTAGCATCAGGACTGATAGCAACAGCAAGTACGTCATCATTCATCTTCATAGACCTCACATTTGTAACCGTGAGTTGTTTGGTCTCCTGAAAGGTAATTTAACATTATATACTTTATAAGAGTCAAATAGAGAGTATCAATGAAACATAAGAATGGTCAGAAACCTCACTTGGCCACGTTTCTTTTTGACATGGTATTCCCAGAATTTGACTTCATGATCTGCACTCACAGTAACGAATCCAGTGTCGTCTGGAATGGGTGCGATCGACCAGATAGTTCCACCATGTGCTTCAACATCTTCCACTTTGGTAGCACTCCCTAGATCAATGATCTCGAGTACCCCACTCTTAGTTCCAACAATACCATACTTATTTTTAGGGACAATCAAACTGGAGACTCCATATCCTGAACCAATGGTCCGGAGACAGGAACCGGTACTAGGATTCCAAATCTTCACTTCATTGTGACTGGTTGACATCAAAAGGTTGTTGTCATCACTGAGGGCTACGCTCCTCACATCAGATCGATGTCCTTGGTGTTCAATGGTAACAGTTTTCTCATTTTCGCTGCTCTTTAGTGTATAGAACTCCAGTGAGTTATTGTTCAAAGACAAAGCCAATGCCGCCAAGGAATCTTTTGGAGTAATGGGACAGAAAGAGAAAGAGCTTATTTTTCTGCCAGCTCTAATGACTTGTAACAGCTTAAAAACGTCAGGGACAGTAAGAACAGGAACACTGTCAGCTTCTTCGACCTCATTACTTGCATCTTCGTTACCGGTCATACTTGCATCCCCGTCTTTGGAAGATTTCTTCGCTTTCCTTCGAAGCCTACGTTTAGATTTCCGCTTCGCCTCTGTTTCATCCAATACCCGGAATATTTCAATTGTTTTTCCTGCCATTTGACAAGCCAACAGACTTCCTGAATTACTGTATCTCACAGACGCAACTCTATCCTTGGTCTGTCTCTGGATTTCCCCAAACGGTTTCAAAACTTCCCACTTATTCTCGGTCAAATGATCTCCGCTGGCAACAAGTCCATTTCCATTTGAATCTGACACCAATGATCCATGCGACATGTTTTGTTTAACAGCGTAAAATCTAAGTTCTGGATCAGCAGAACCAGTAACGAGATATCTTTCCTCTGGATCAGCATCCACAGACCAGACTTCACTATGATGACCACTAACTATTTGCATACAGTGTTGGGTCTCAAGATCCCATACTCTCAAGAACTTGTCCTTAGACGAAGTAACAAGTTTCTTACCAGAATCCAAGAAAACAAGATCTGTGACCTATAAATAACAAAGAAAAAACTAATCAGCAAATGATGAATCGATGATAAGAACTACATAATAAAAGTACAAATGTAACTCAAAACAAACCTGATCGCGATGACCACGGAGACGAAAAAGCGATGTTTCACCAACCACATCCCACAAGATAACATCGTTGTCTTTACTTCCAGATGCAATCATAGATCCAAGCTTGTTGTACCGCAGCGCAGTCACAGCACCTTTATGACCATTCAGAGTGGTCTCACAGGTTGCTTTCTCACAATCCCATATTCTTAAACTCCCATCCGCATACCCAACCGCAACCTGGTTGATTACACAGAACCAAATAACTATGCTTATTCGCTTTCAGTAACAAAATATTCAAATCATTCTTTGAAAGATCACAAGAATATCATAAAATATATATACATATATACGAGAGTCTGCAAGAGCTAAGCAATTGATTCGGTTATGCTCCAACAATTTCTACATTCATAGCTTCAAAGGGCAAACAAAAAACATTCAAATATCTGATTTTGCTGAGTTCTGATTCTGCTAAAAGGCTACGAATTTAGACCAATAGCTTAACAAATTTGCGTTAACTAGTCGTCAAAAGAGGAATATGTTAAGAAGAGTACCAAAGTAGAAGCAGAGGAGGCGATAGAGGTAACGGCAAGAGACGGTCCGGTGCGAGAAGAGGAAGGTGTCAAGGTATTGGTGCGGATTCCTTGTCGGACATGCCAGATTCCGACAGTTTCCAGTGCCGGAGCAAGGATATGTTTCCCTGTCGAATCGTATGCAATGTTCGAATCTAATGAAGTTATCACGCCGAACGAAGAAGCTTGCTCATATCTTAGGTAAGCTTTCACCATAGCTAATAAAAAGCT